TCCTGCTGCTCTCAGCACAGCGCACACGGTGGCAAGAGCCAGTGGCCGGCTTCCCAAGCCTGGCAACTTCTCCTCACAGCAACCCAGGCATCGATTTGCAAGGTGTCACACTGGCATATGTTGTAAACAGGATGGCAGGTCGATTTCGAGCACCAACTGGGGGTGGAGGAGCAGAATGCCGTGGGAATGGGCAGAGGCTGTGCATGGAAATGGTTCCTGCATTCAGCCTCCCTTTGCACCCATGGGGCTGGATCTGTCCACACCGAGCTTCTGTCCCTGTTTGATGGGTACCTGCTGGCCCTCTCACAGCAGGTAGGGGGAAATGGGGGGGGGCTTGTGCATTGCCCACCAAACAGCCTAGTAGAGCCGTGTCTCTAGACAGGGTGAGGGTCTGGGCTAGGGCAGCCCCCCAGCATTTCCACGTCACCTCTTCTAGGGGCAAAATATGAAACTGAATTGGGGAGTAAACAGTGTGTTTGTAAAATGCGGCACCAAGCACTGCTGGCCTGAAACATGCACAGTGCAGGCCACGGCCCTGCACCCCAGACAACTGACAGAAGCTCTCCTGATCGCTGGGGACCCACCACTTTACCCCGTCAGCACCCATATCGCCCATGCCCTGTGTGCAGCAGCTTGCCCCCAAACCCCCTCACCAGCCAGCCCCAGCCAGGGCGCACGCACGGCCCTGCTGACAGAGCACTTTTTGCAATCCTAGACTCAATCCTGCTTCCTCCTTTGGTCACAGTGAAAAGGGACGAAGCCTGAGCTGATGCAGCTGGGAAGCTGGGGAGCAGCGCAGAGCCAAGCCCCGCATCAGCTTCCCTAGGCAGAGGGGACGGCTCAGAGCTGAAGCAGTTCCTCCTCCCTGCAGGCTGTGCCTGAAATAGCCGAGCCTGTCACATCCCCGGCCTGGCCGTGATGGATTAGCCTCTCCAAGGCACAAGGCAATTTATTCATTAGTGACATTTACACCTTGTGGCTGCATTAGCCACTGCGGTTTGGTGACACGTGCTCGAGCTGTCAGTGCTGGGCTTGGAGGCAACATCGCTGCTCTGATGATGCAGCGAGGCTTGGCCTGGGCACCTCAGCTTGGAAATGCCTCCTGCCTGTCTCCTCAGCCAGAGCAAGCATAGCCTGCTTTGAAAGCCCGCTTTGTTCCCAGGTTTCTCCATCGAATGCCCTGCTCCCTCTGTTTTCCTCCCACCTCCTGGCCTCGCAGCACCACTGCTCCAGCACAGCAGCCTCCTGCCCTGTCTTGCCTGGTGTCTCCTGCAAAAAACACCACATTTGCAAAGCCTTCTCGTACAGCCCCTTCTCTCCACACATACTGCTGAGCATTTACATGCTATTCTGCCCTCCTCAGCTAGCTCCTCCAACAGCTGTATCTTGTTCGGCCCACAGCAAAGCTGCCCTCGGTCCCAGCAGAGAAGCACAGAGCCCATGTTCAGAGACTCCCCCAACAGACATGCTGCTTTCACCACGACACTGTCCCCTGGTCCTGCACCACCACAAAAGCCAACCTGCCCCTCCTCCACTGGAACAGCCCTGGGGCACTGGAGAACAGGACCACCAAAATATCAAGGGCTTCTAACTTGGGTCTGTCGAACTTACCCTGTCTACAAAGGCTCAGAGAAGTGCTGTGAAATTCTCTGGGAAAGCATAAAGTGATGCAAAAGTGAGGCCAGGATGTGCTGCAATGCTCTGCAGGCTGCACTGTCTCTCTGCCAGGCAAGCACGAGGCACACCAGGGCAGGGAGCATTGTTGGGAGGCAAACCAGAAGGTTATGGTGAGGTCTGGCCACCAGCAGGCCTGAGGTCATCACACGTCCACTGGTGTTTCACAGCCAGCCCATGGCACCTAGCAGGGGGAGGACTAAAACGATGCGAATGCATGGCAGCCTCGGAGGAGTTCGGTTTGGCTGGCTCAGAGGAATGACAGTTTGCACATAGCGTTTGGGGAGCGTGAGAAGAGATGGAGAGTGTGGGCCAGGGAGCAGATACAGCAGCTCTCCCGTCTCAGGCAGCCAGCAAGGGATTAGCTTGTTCTCAAACACAGTTTGCTCCATGCTTTTATCCCTGCTTCCTGCCACTCGCTGCAGCAAATGTGACACTTCACACCATCTCCTCACAAAAACCAGGTCAGGAGTTTCCTCTCACAAGGAACAAGCGA